GCAAAGGCATTTGGAGACAAAACATCCTTCTTTTATTGAAAAGCCTATAGACCTTTTTCGCCGAAAAGAGAAGGAATTACAGGGTCAAAAACACATGATCGCACAACAAGCCAAAATTTCTTATAATGCTCTGAAGGCATCCTATGAGGTGGCATACTTGATTGCGCAGACCAAAAAGCCACACACAATTGGGGAAACCCTGATAAAGCCCGCTGCTGTGGCTATGTATGCATGGCAAGAAAATAGCACAGTCGCTCGCCATGTACATGATATCGCAAAAGACATTACGAGTCAATTGATTGATAGGATAAATGGAAAAAAATATGCACTGCAGGTTGACGAATCTGCTGATGTGTCTAATTCTGCTCAGTTGCTGGCGTTCATCAGATGCACATTTGACAGAAAACTGCATGAGGATATGCTCTTCTGCTCAGCACTCGAGGGGACTTGTACAGGCAGTGACATTTTCACCAAACTGGACACCAAAATAAAAGAGATGGGACTTTCATGGGATAATTGTGTCGGTGTATGTACTGATGGTGCTGGTGCAATGGTAGGTAAAAACAAGGGACTCAAGGCAAAGGTTTTAGAAGTGGCTCCTCACGTGAAGTTTACATACTGCATCATACACAGTGAGTTTCTTGCTAGCAAAACACTTGATTCTGAACTTAACAGTGTTCTGAAATGTGCAATCAAAATCGTAAATCACATAAAATCTTGTCCAGTAAACAACAGGCTACTAGCCACACTTTGCAACAAGATGGGCTCACAGCACGAAGCATTGCTGTTTCACACCAAAGTCTGGTGGTTACCACGAGGGAAGGCACTCGGACGTCTTTATGAACTGCGCGAAGAAGTGCACTCATTGTTGAAAGACTCAAAATTGGAATTCACCAACTGCCTGACAGATCCAGCTTGGTTGTCAAAACTTGCCTATTTGGCATGTATATTCGAAAGGCTTAACATGCTTAATCTGTCATTACAAGGACCAAATACAAATATCCTGACAATGAATGACAAAGTTGATGCATTTATGAAAAAGCTGGAAAGAAGGGCTGAGCGAGTTGAACAAGGTAATGTGGAGATGTTTTCTGAGCTTGAGGAGCATCTGGAGGAGAGTGGACCGAGTCTCAGCAGCCTGAAAGAACACATCACTGGTCATCTCTACAGCTTTTTGGAACAATTCAAGAAGTATTTCCCAAAAGAGACGCACTAGAACTGTATGACTGTATACCGCAACCATTTACTGAATCTAGGACTCATCTCCCCACAAATCTGGATGATGCTTTGCTGGAGCTGTCCAGTGATCGAACATTAAAAACTTTATTTTCCAATTCCACACTGGCGGAATTTTTTGGATCGCAGTAGCAGACGAATACACAGAGTTATCCAGTGCGGCAATGGATGTACAGTACTGCTTCCATTTGAATCTACATATTTGTGCGAACAGTCTTTTTCTGCTTTTACATACATAAAAAATAAATACTGATCATGTCTTGATGTTGAAGATGATCTGCGAATAGCTGTATCCACCATCAGGCCACGGATGAAGCTTTTGTGCTGCCAAAAACAGTGAAAGGTAAGCCAAAATTAATTTGATGTCTAGTAAATATAGTTAAAATATTGTGAACGGCTTTAAAAGAAGTTGTTTAGTTTATTTTTTGTGTATGCGTTGGTAGTGGGGGTCGTGAGTTCTTGTCGATCTTACATTAGGGGTCGCTGGCTTAAAACAATCCACGATGCTTCTCCACTGCGAACTTTAATGGAGAAACACCGCAAGTTCTCCCCCTAGTGTTCAACAACGCACAACTAATCGATTGCACAACTTAAAGTGCCCCTATTATGCCTTTTCAAATATTACCTTTCATGCAGTGTGTCATGTAGCTGTTTGTGAACATGAACTATCTGCAAAGTTGTGAAGCCAACAGTGCGCGATAAATAAAGTTATTGTCTATCAAAAAAAAGAGTCGGCTCACAATCGCCTAAACGAGTCGTCAGGAAAAATTTCCGTGTGGTTAACATCATGTCGAGAAGACGCTGTATCCTACGCTGTGAGAGTAAATTTGTTTTATCACATCTTATAATTGCCACAAACTTGTTAACACTTGACAACTTACCATTGAGAAACGTTCTGCTCCAGTCGTGCTTGCGAATCAGTCTCTTGTCGATTAGCCAGTTCAACCTATGTATTGACAAGTCTCCAGGGCTGTCATTCCGTCATGGCAATGGGCGTTTCGTTTCCGACAAGCGCTGTACACGGTAGACCAATCCAAAGCCAATCTCTCTACGACTCTGGACCAATCACAAAGGACTGCGCCATATGACCAATCACAGCAGTGAGGGCTCACGGAAAGGAGGGGTTTAGAGAGACTGATTCTTTGAACTGCTTCGCACGAGTCGTTAACAAATCATTTAGAAATGATGTAAAATTTAATCTATTTTTTGAGAAAACTAACGTGTTTTTTGACCTTGCATGCATGTAAACCTGTTTTAGGATACTCATAAAACAATATTAGCAACCTTAAAAATGGCATAATAGGGGCACTTTAATGGACTAAACTAATTGATCACAGATTAATCAACACTACTTAAATATTTACATTTGATGAACCTTTTTAAATGGATTCAAAATAGCATAAATATAGAATACTTTCAAATTTATGAATTTTTCAATATAATTATACAAACATATATATTTCAATCTGTCACAGTTTCAAGCATGTATAACTTTACTTTTTCTATGAGATGATATTTTGAAGATTGTTTTTAAAGGGGTCATATGATGCGATTTCAATTTTTCCTTTCTTCAGCTCACCTTGGGAAGCATCATCCGACAATATTTCCTTGCCTAGTCTTGCATGATACTTCCATTTCTCATAGATCATTCTGTACTGTCGTTATACACCCTTTAACTTTATTTCTTGAAGTTCTCTTCCCTTTTCTGTTCAATTAATTATGAAACAAATATACAGAACATCTGCATAACAGCACTTACAATATGACCCCTTTAACCCTACAATTAAAGTCAATGGGGAATCACAATTATTATTCTTTCTGTTATCGGTGAGCAAATTCACTAGTCTCATTTGTTGAACATGAAGCACTAGCAGTTTGAGTTAAGCCATCAGAAAGCAAAGAACAGCAGCATAACTCTGTCCAGCAGCTCTTGACCTTGGCTTTTGGGAGCATGTGGGTGACACTGTTAAATCAGAGGATTTGCTTACTTATGACAGGGCTGCCAGAGAATCTGTCGCACTGAATTATTTATCAATTAGATGACCGTTAGCAGGGACAGAGGGAAGAGAGAGGAGGGAAGTCGAGGGAGACAGGGCAAAATAACAGCAGTGTGTGTGTGTGTTTGTGTCTGAGAGAAATATATGTCAGGGTGTGTTGGTGTAGATAATTGTTCATGTCTGCTTGTATGGTGTGTGTGTGATTTAGTTCTGTAGGGCATTTTGGTTGTTGAAGGCGCTTTATTATGGTCTGTCACAGCCTGTCACTGCACACACATGCTATAGGCCATTGATGCAGGTTCAGTGTACAGAGTTTGTGTGTGCACATGTGAGGAAAAGAGAAAGGCCTTTAGGACAAGACAAGGGCAGCCTTTCTGAACTAACATGTTGACATGCTATACATGCAGACACAAACTGACACTGATAAAGCTGGGATGTTACAGTTCAACAATGCTATCTGTTTCACCATATCTACGCAGTCTGAGTGAAACAGAAAGCTGACGATCAGACCATGAGTCCTTGCGCACTACCCTCCAAACCCTGCACCCAAGCAATTCACCAATTCAATCAACTTCACAAATAAAAGCTGCCTTTTGTCAGAGACATTAAAAGGGAGGAAATAGACAACCTGATAAAAAAATAATGAATGGGTGAAATGAAATTGTAAACATCTCTTTTACAGTTAAAAGTGCCAATTGCCTTTGTGATAGGTTTTTGATATATATATATATAGATATATAGATATATACACACTTCATTGGAAGTGCCTGAAAAATACATTTATTTCAGAATGATCTGAGGTAAAGAATCTAAATTTATGATGCCACTGTCAGATTTTATTTCAATAACACATTTTATGATTAGACATTTATGTAATTATATTACATAATAATAAACGGACACAACCATAGGCTGAATCTGGAATAGAGTGCATAAGTCCCTGCCCGCTTTTTCCCCGTTTTTTTTTCCCCCGGAAGTACCGATTCAGAGGAACCGCATCAACCCCAACTTCAGAATCCAAAATGCTTGCTCAGCGCACCAATAGTAAATGAAACAGTATAATATATTGTTTATTAGCACTTATGTTTGTCTTTGTCTCAATAAACCAAGGTACTACTGGCGCACACAGTTATATCCAACCTCTATCTGTGGACATGATACTACAGCATTATCTGTGCAAAATACCACTTGTATTTTTACGCAAATGTATTTTTATCGAGATGTATTGCTCACAATGATGGACATGTCCATCTTGGTTTTCCTGTTTTGTAACATTTTTTATTTATTTATTTATTTTTTACCAGGAATTCCACTGTTAAACACTTATTATTGGAACAAATAAAGCAGGGCTGATGGCTTCAACAAATGCATATACCATCGATAAAACAACCTTGTAGCTCATAGTAGGTCTGCCTTTAATGGATAAAAATGAATTCCCCAATGGAGAAAATGAATGGTATTTTATATTTACTCTCATATAGAAACATCATCTCCATCCATACAATGCTGGATCTGAAGGGCTCACCCCGTCAAAGTGAGTCTGTTTGTAACGTCAGCAGGGATTTGAAGCTGTGTAGTTTTAAAGGGGTGGTTCATTGTGATTTCACTTTTTTAACGTTAGTTAGTGTCTAATGTTGCTGTTTGAGCATAAACAATATCTGCAAATTTACGTAGCTGAAAGTTCAATGCAAACGTCTTTTAAAATTCTGGCAGTTTAATGCCTACAAAAACGGCTGGTAGGGACTACAACGAGTTACTTCCCGGGTTCGTGACGTAACAAACCCAGATAAACCCTGCCCTCGGAAAAAGGCAACAAAGGGGGCGAGGTCATGCTGTGCTGCTTTAGAAAAGAGGAAGACTCTCTCTCTCTCATTCAGCTCAGCTCCAACAATGATGCTCCTCTGTTCCAATTATACGCTTATTTTCACATAGCTATGAGAAGCGTTAAACATAGATGCGCGTGCACTTGCTGTACTGTATTAAAGCTTTAATCAGGATAAAACCGTATATTAAAAGCTAACATAAGCAGTAGCATTTACAAATAACCGCATATCTAAAAGTATGAGACAACAACAAACAAAAAACATAGGCCTACCATTAAAAGCCATGCTTGCACAGGTTCTGCACGATCCTCTTCAATAATATCCTCTGCTTCATAAAAGCAGGAAATTATCAGCCCGTTTCTCAGAGAAGGGACAGAGCGGTGTGGTAAATTATGTGAAAAATAATGGGGCTTTTTTAAATGAAGCATTAACACATGTTAGACTGCACCCCATA